CTGAGAGGGACGAGACAAGGGGCTAACGCACAGGGGTGGGGTGGGGGGCAGGTGCCTGAGAGCACTTGCGGATGGCCTGGAGTGCAGGGGAGGGCTCAGCAGGTTGACCAGCAGGGTGAGATGGAAGGTGTGTGTGAGCGAGGCTGAGCCCTGCAGCCTTGTCCAGATGGCAGCCGTGAGTCCCTGAGGGCTTGTGGGAGGGGGAAGTTCATCTGTGAAAGGAAAATGGGGGAGTCTGGTGGCCACGGCCAGTGACCAAGGCTGATCTACTCTTGGTGACCTAAGTTTCTGAGCTGCTGGAGGGACCCTCCCCAAGTTCCTGCCCCTGGTCCTTGGCTCACCTGCCCCAGGTCTCTCCCTTTTTCTCTTCAACTGCAGTGGGAGGAGGTGGGCGGGAAACCCGTGGCATTGTCAAAAAGCCTCCCGCAGTGTAGAAGGTGGCGATTGTGTCCCTTGGGGACATTAGCAGGGCTGAGGGAAGGGAGCTACAGGCATCTTGCAGGTAGAAGCCTGGCATGCAGTGCACAGGAGGCCCCACAGTTACTCAGTCTCCAGTGCTGAACAGGTCAGGGCGTCCAGCGCACCAAGATACATGGGGAACCCAGTGAGCCAAGTGAAACAGGCGGGCAAGGTGGGAAGTGAGGCTGCCACCCGCAGTCAGACCCAGCACCCGTGGGGGTGCAGAAGCATCCTGAGAAGAAGCAGGAGAGGGAGTGATGGGGAGGGGGGCGCTAGGGTGGGCAGTGTAGCCGGTTCCCCCTCAGGAGATGGTATCTGGGGCTGGGAGAGCAGGCGGAGCCTGACATTGGAAGGAAGGGAATCCCCAGGCAGAGGGACCGAGGTGGGAAGGCCCTAAAGGCCTTAGGAGTGAAGGGGCTTTGCTGTCAGCCGGAAGGGCAGTACTGAGGGTGGGGCCTGTAGGGGAGAAACAAGGTGTTGGAACCATTGGGGCTTCAGGGCTTGCAAGGGGAGACTGGTGGTCTGCGCTTGCTCACTGGGTGGGCGGTGGGACCGGAAAGACGGGAGAAAATGCAGTTGGCAAGCCGCTAAGGAGACTCCTGCCCACTGTGGAGCCTTAGGCCCGGGAGAGGACGGAGGGCTTCTTAAAGCCCCTTTACACGAGAGGACAAACGGCAATGCCTTGGGCCTTCCTGGAGTCTCCGCAGGCCAGGCCTCAGCTGAGTTCCTTCAGCTCAACCAGGGAGGCGCCCAGGTGTGCAGGTGTGCGATGGGGCTGACGGCTGGCTCTGAACCCCCCTGGCCAGCTTGAGGACCTGGGAAATCACACCCCGGCTTGCAGGCAAGGCCCCAGGACACCGAGCCGAGTGGGGAGAAGGGGTGGAGGGGAGGATGGGACTCCAGCGGAGCAGGAAGAGCTAGCGTGGTCAGCCAAGGAGGCAGGGTCTCCTCGGGGGTGCGGGCCCCAGCCGAGAAGTGGGGTTTAGGTGCACGTGGCGAGGCTCGGTGGGCGGGGCCTGCTGGGGGACGCGCACCTTTCGGGAGCGC